GGCCAGACTCAGCATCAGGAGCTCCCAATGTTCCTAAGTAATAAGAGACTTATTCAGCAAGACAGAGAAGGTTGGGGACATTGCAGTGATGCTCTGAGCTCCAGCCCCATGGAAGAGTGAGGCAAACCTTATGTCAAGGTTTGGGTTCCAGCCGTACCCAGAGTGAAGCAAGCTGTTCTACCAAGACAAGGTGCTTCAGGGCATCCATCAATGAAAGATCCACCCAAACTCCCCATCCTCCCTTGAAACCATTTGAAAATACAGATGGGAAGACTATAATTATCTCATAGGAGCACAAACAATTTCCATACTAATGCAGCGCCAAAGCCAAATCTTTAAGTTCCCCTCAAAAGCATCAGCCTCCTGAACCATATTATCACATCCAAGAATGAGCCACAGGGATAATCCCTGCAGCATGATGCTTCTTGGCTCCCGGTGCCTGGGCTGGGCAAAACACAGCTTGATGTTCCAGCCCAGTGCATAGCATGCTTCCGACTGAAGCAAAGCACAGGGATTTTGCTCTTTAATGTGCTGGTGGAATCTCTGTGTTTATTGGGACAGGAACTTCACAGCACTGGAAGGGAGCATGTTGTGGTGCTCATCCCACTTCTCCAAGGGGTGAGAGGTTTCAGCAATTACCTAGATTTTGTTTCTGCTGGGAGGAGGTCACTGGAGGAATCTGTGCATTTGGTAATACTTGTGTTCATTTACAAATTTACAGGTTGAACATAGGTAGAGAATGGCCATGGTAGCTGTGTTCTGTCTCGAATATCAGAGGCAGTGTACCTCTAAATACCAGTTTCTGGAAACCAGAGAAGGGAAGAGCGCTGTAGCACTTGGGTCCTGCTTGCATCTGGTTGTCCACAGTGAGAACAGGGTCCTAGACTGGATGTGCCTTTGGTCTGATCCAACAGGGCTCTTCTTTTGTTGTTAGAAGCACAGTTTACACACTGCAAGAGATAACCAGAGTCTGCTGTTCCCACATCAGGTCTCTAGAGAGATGGCTGGCAATGCCCTTGGGTACTTACAGAGCCCAAGCTCCTTTTGGCGTCCTCAGTCTCCAGGAGGAGCTGTCTGAGTCCGGTGCTGCTGTGTCACCAGCTGGGAAATTGGACCAGGTTCTTAGTGCTAGAGTCCATATATTCTAAAGCTGATGGCTCAGAGCCCATGAGATCTGAGGTCAGCAATCCAGAACCTGCAAAGCCTGAGCTGTGACCATTACAAGATGCTGCCCCCTGAGCTTGACTCACCATTGGAATTAAGTCCATCATGCACTACCATGCCCTGGGGAGGCTGGTCCATATGAGTGAATAGGGTACCTCAGTTTGCCCTCACCTGTCCTCCTCCTTACTTACCACCAGTCCAGGGGACAACAGCGTCCTCCTCCTTGTCTCAGTTCCCCAGCCCTGATCTGTATCTATTGCTGAAAAACAATCATCTATCTGACGCAGGTGGCGCTGTGGTCTAAACCACTGAGCCTCTTGGGCTTACAGATCAGAAGGTCGGCAGTTTGAATCCCCGTGATGGGGTGAGCTCCTGTAGCTCGGTCCCTGCTCCTGCCAACCTAGCAGTTGGAAAGCACATCAAAGTGCAAGTAGATAAATAGGTACCGCTCTGGTGGGAAGGTAGACGGCATTTCCGTGCGCTGCTTTGGTTCACCAGAAGCGGCTTAGTCATGCTGGCCACATGACCCAGATATTGTACGCCAGCTCCCTCAGCCAATAAAGCAAGATGAGCGCCGCAACCCCAGAGTCGTTCACGACTGGACCTAATGGTCAGGGGTCCCTTTATCTTTTTATCTGCCCAGGACTGGCCCAAGATATGTTGGTACCTGAGGTGACCCACAAAATTGTGCCCCCATCCTGCCTGGGAAGAAGAGATGAGTGAAGATCTACATCAGGAACAAGGGTGAGAGGAGACCAGCAGTGCCTCCTATTTGCCAAGAGTAGAGGGGGCATGGGGTGGGGGGCTGCTGAGGAGGTGGCAGATCCAGCCTCCAAGGAGCATGCCACAGCTGTCCCTGCCACCACGGCAGCAGCACTGGGTGATGCGTTCCTTGGAAGCCAGATCTGCTACCCCTGTGGAACCTGCTGCCTTACCTTGCCTCATGGGTGGGCCAGCCCTGCATCTGTCTATACGTTGTCCATAGTTCAACCCAAACCGTGGCACCTGCAGGGTGTGGGATTGCAGTCTTGTGCGGCGCAGGCTGTTTGCATTCATGCACAGGCCTTTCCATGGATGTATGCTAGAGACAAGATGCTTCCATTCCCCACTCTAAGATTAAACTTCCCGACAGCCCAGGGAAGGAGCTGAGCACTAAAAGAATGATAAGACTTGCAACTCACACTGCTAACAGCATTTTAACAAGGCATCTCCAAAAGCCAAAAGAAAAACAGGCGTGGTGATTTGACAGTCACAGGAACCACCAGAGAGAACGTAAGAAGATTAAAAAAGCTCTGCTGGATCAGGCCAAAGGGGGCCCATCTAGTCCAGCATCCTGTTTTCACAGTGGCCAACCAGATGCAAGCAGGACAAAAGCCCTCTCCCCTCCTGTGATTTCCAGCAAATAATATTAAGAGGAAGAAGAAGAAGAGTTTTGGATTTGATATCCCGCTTTATCACTGCCCTAAGGAGTCTCCAAGCGGCTAACAATCTCCTTTCCCTTCCTCCCTCACAACAAACACTCTGTGAGGTGAGTGGGGCTGAGAGACTTCAGAGAAGTGTGACTGGCCCAAGGTCACCCAGCAGCTGCATGTGGAGGAGTGGGGAAGCGAACCCGGTTCCCCAGATTACAAGTCCACTGCTCTTAACCACTACACCATGCTGGCTCTACTGCAACTGCATTTAGTGAAATAAGAGACAGCTGGAGCCTACGTGAGAGAGCGTTCACCAGCTTTGCTGCCAGGCCTCATCTGGAAAACCCTAAATTCCACCCAGGTTCTTGACAAACTAGCGTCAGAAAGATTTGCAATCTACCACAGGCATAAAAACAATCCGTGAGCCTGATGTGGTTGAGATCTCAATTGCAAATCAATACTTGCAACAGTTTTGCCATTTTTCAGCTGTTTCTTACTAGCCTGCGGTGTTTCAGACTTGCAAGCCAGCAGAGAGGTTTTCTACATACAATGGTTTTCTATTCTACAATGTTCACCAGCTTTGGGGGAGGGGAATAGGGGAGGGAATGCCTGATATAGTGTAGCAAGTAGCTCTTGAGAAAGCTCCCCTCTTTTTAAAAGTAATAGTGAAATTAATGAAATGTAGATTAAGTGACAAAGATTGAAAAATCTTCAGATGTGGTTGATGGAAGTACAAAACATTGTATAAGATAAGAAAATACAATGGTACCTCTGGTTAAGAACTTAATTCGTTCTGGAGGTCTGTTCTTAACCTGAAACTGTTCTTAACCTGAAGCACCACTTTAGCTAATGGGGCCTCCCGCTGCTGCTGCGCCACCGGAGCACGATTTCTGTTCTCATCCTGAAGCAAAGTTCTTAACCCGAGGTACTATTTCTGGGTTAGCAGAGTCTGTAACCTGAAGCGTCTGTAACCCGAGGTACCACTGTATGTCGTATGACTTTTGGAAACTTTATGTAAAAACTAATACACACACACACACACACACACACACACACACATATGTGAGAAAGCTCCCCTTTTTGGTCCAACCCTTCTTTTAAAGACCACGTAAGCCATTGGCTATCTCTATATCACATGGCAGAGAGTTCCACAGATCCATTAGGGGCTGTGTCACCAAGGGCTTCCTTTTGACTCTACCTTGTCCATACTCTCTTGCCTCCTGCTTATTATTTACCAACTTTCTGTCATGTCCTCCGTGTCTTTTGGTCAGCTATCCCCTTAGAACCTAAAGAGTCTCTGAGAAGCTACAGAGAGGCCTCGCTCCACAGGAGAGCCCTTGCTTTGCACGCAGAGCCCGCTGAACCCCTAGGGCTGCCAGGGACTGCGAGGAGCTCCTTGTCTGGAACCCTGGGGGGCTGCACTGCCACTCGGGGTAGACCAGGGGAGGGGAGCCTTCCGTGAGGAGGGCAAAGGTGGCCCTCCCAGCCTTTCCATCTGGCCCTCGGGACTCTGCCCTCCCCCTCCCCAGGCCACACCCCCGAGTGGCCCTACCTGCTCCCCTCCCTGAGCGTTTCAAGCTTTTATATTGGTTGTCCCTGGCCCTGCCCACCGCCGCTATGTGGCCCCCGGAAGGCTCTCCAGGAGGGGATGTGGCCCTCGACCGAAAAATGCTCCCTCGGCACCATGCCGCTCGCAGGCCACCTGTCCCGAACCCCCACTTATGGGTCCCAGCCTGCTGGTCAAGTGGACAGGGAGAAGGGGGGGCTCTTTCCAGTCCGGAGTCGAGCCAACTCAGCCCCGCAGTGGCCAGAGTCCCTGTCCCCGGAAAAGTCACTCCGGGACCTCTGCCTGCCCGCCGCCCGCTGCCCTCTCGGCGGCCCCCGGGGAGCCGCTCTCCCGCTCAGCCCCGGAGGAGGCGGAGGGAAGCGGAGGCGGGAAGCAGCCGCGGAGCCGCCTCAGCCCCAGCAGCTGCCTGCCTGCACTTTGCTGACACGAGCGATTCCGAGTTGACGGCGCGCCCGTCCTTGAGGCAGCAGAGGCGGCGGCGGGCGGCGAGCGCGGCAGGCGAGAGGCGGGCCGGGTTCGCTTTAAGGGGGCCGGACGCGGAGGGAGAGCCCGGGAGCAGCTCCGGCCGGCCTCGCTCGCTGCCAAAGAGGAAACCGGAGGAAAGTCCGGCGCGGGAAAGCCAAGCGGCGCGGGAGAGGACGCCCGGACGCCGGCGCCGCGCTGAGCAGGGCGCGGGGCTCCCCCTTTGCTCTCCTGCACCCCTCCGGGGGCTCCGGGCGCCCCACTGAGCCGGAGTCCAGCTGCAGGGGCCAGCGAGCCGAGGAGGGAGAGATCCAGCCCGGCCAGCGCTGCTGCGGTCTCTCCTGGACGGCGCGCCCTTCCCGCGAGCCCGGCTTTGGGCATTTCTCGTCTGTGCTGCCCTGGAACGTGGCTCAGTGGTTAGAGCGCCTGCTCAACGCTCAAGAGGTCCCCGGTTCTGTCCCTGGGCACCTCCAGGCAGGACCGAGGAAGGACTCCCCTCCCGAAACTCCGGAGAGCCGCTGCCGGCCAGTGTGAGCAGCACTGCGCTAGATGGACCGAGGGCCAGCTTGGTCTAAGGCACCTTCCCGCGAGCCAGAGGCACCGGCTTCTCTGCGAGATGCACCCAGGAAACCCGGAGGTTGTGGGACCCTCATCCCTCGCCGCCGTGCCCCAGACGGTGGCTTCTGGGGGAACGGAGCCCATCGCCCCCCAGCAGTCCAGGATGGAGAACTTCAGGAAGGTCAAGACGTCGGAGGAAGAAAGCCCGCTGCCCTTCGCGGGCCTCCCCTCGGACGTGATTGAGATGAAGGTGAAGGAGGGCAGCAAGATCCGGAACTTGATGGGCTTCGCCATGGGCAGGGTGGCGCGGGAGGACACCCGGCAGATCGTCTTCAGCGGCTGCGGCCGGGCTGTCACCAAGACCATCACCTGCGTGGAGATCATGAAGAGGAAAGTGGGCGGCCTCCACCAGGTCACCAAAGTGCAATACAGGACTCTCCTGGAGGTCTGGGAGAACAAGGCAGCCCGGCCCGAGGGGGGCCCCGCAGAACATCTCACCGTCCACAAGAACGTGCCCTCCATCTGCATCCTGCTCTCCAAGGACCCCCTGGATCCCAGCCAGATGGGCTATCAGCCCCCGGATCTCCCCGGTGGCCTGTGGGTGGGCGAGGGGGGCAGCCAAGAGGACAGGTCCAGCCCTGCCCCGAAGGGAAAGAAGAGGAGGCTGGCGCTGCCCCACGAGGAGGACCCGCGGAACAAGAAGGCTCAGGTACCGGAGATCCAGAGCGACTCGGGGGCCCTGGAGGGTTGTGGACACGGACGGCATTGCTGCCCTACTTGCCTTGAGCAATTGTGAGAAAAGCCAAGCCTTATATGCAGACTGAGGGACAGAGACAGGCTGGGCGCATTCCGGATTTGCAGGTGCTTCGTAACCAATAAAAGGGGTGATGGAGCGGGGGCTGCCTTTGCCAACGGTCTTGTGCTGGGTTATTCTTCCCAGGGAGAGATGTCCCCCACAGCCGCCTCAAATCCTGCCAGCTCAGGTTGGGTGGAGCAAAGGATTCTGCTCCATATACCAGGCAATCAAAGGATGGTCCATTCAGACAGGCCGCTGAGTGTGGAAAACAGCCCAGGAGGGTGGAAGACACAGTTTGGGTGCTGACTGCACGCAGGATGTTTTCACACGCCAGGTGAAGTGGAGGACTCAGGACGTGGGTTGCTCAAAACCACTGACAGCACCTGTGGCTCCTTGCTGGGTTGTGTGGGGTGTGTGTTAAAGGTCCCAGTAAGAGGCAAAGGCGTTGGCTGTAAACCTGAGAATGGAAACATTGCTCTATCCAGGACTAAGTGTGTGTGTTTTAAATGGTCTTATGACCAGGGCCATGGTTTCTGTGCCCCTTCCCCTACCCCTTTTAAACTTAAAAGATTGCATTGCTTCCATGGAAGTTTTCCCTCTGAAAGTTGACTTAAATTTGCATCTCTGCCTATAGATTTGCATATGCACATTTTAGGAAAGTATATGCTGTTGCCTGAGTCTTGTAAGGTCTTAGCAGCCCCCATGCTTATCGTCGCTTTCTAATGAAGTAGGTGGGTGCCCTTGTATTGGAGAGGGCTGGACCACATCCTAGGAATCCTGCAGAATCCTCTCATATCTGTTCTGTTTAGTAAGAGTTTCTCTGTTTTACTGAAGCTGGAGGTGAATCAGAGGAGACATTCCAAAAAGAAAAGGGGGAAAGCATGATTTGGAGCAAACGGGCAGCAGATTTCTCTCTCTTTTCCATCAAACTGGAACTCAGGGTCACCCAGCAAAATTGGCTGGGCGTGGATTTGAGACAGGCAGGAGCAAGAACTGCTTCACACAACACAGAACGGATGTCTGGAATTTTCCACCCCCAGCATAAGTGGCCTGAAAGAAGGATTGGGCACATTTGTGGAGGGCAGGATGCCACTGAAATGTCAGCTGGGGGGGGGGGAGCAGATGAGCAGACCAGTGCAGCCTTCATGGTGTGCAGATGGCCTTTTGTGTGTGCCTCTTAGCAGCCCGTGTGGAAAACTAGATGGATGTGTGGCTTTGGTCAGTATGGTCAGGCATCTGCTGAGGACCCACACCCCAGCAGGGGCCTCGCTGCCAAGAGCCCCCTGGACTTGCTAAAGTGGGGAGATGGACTCAGTGAGTGAGGGGCCCCACAGGAGCAGTCTTGTCCAAGGGTCCTCCGAAACCTGGAGGAGACACATTGGATCGGGCCCATCCAGCAGAGCTCTTCTTAAGTCAGTAGTCCTGTTTCTAAGCTGTCCCTCTATCTGCTGCTAGGAGGTTCTCCTTATATCAATCCTGAGAGGCACATGATTGCAGGGGGCAGGGAGGATATAATGTTGGGTCTCTCTGCCCCTCCTGCCCTTGTGAAATCTTTCCTTCTGACTCTCTCTGGAACAGTTGCAGCCCTCCTACAGCTTCTGTATGGAGCATTATCTTCCTGGCTGGATAAAAAGAAATCTTGCTTCTCGGCCAGGAAGGGGTGGGGGTAGAAGAGGCTGTGCAAAGCAGGCAGTTCTGTATCTCTTCAACACTTTGCAATGAGGTGGCTCTTATCAGACACTTTGTAGAACACAAAACTCATTGCAATGGATTTATTCCTTTCCGGAGCTCAGAAGGTGCAGGTTAAGTTGTATTGATTCAGAGTGGGATCATTGTAACTAAAGAATGCTTTTGTCTCATTCCACCGCCTCCCCTTCAAATTGCAGTGGGTCCTTCTTTCTTTCTTTTTCTGCTACATAATGTATTTCTTGAGAACAAGGATATATATGGGCATTTTCCCCCCTCAAGGAATGACTTGATTATTGTATCTTTTTGCCAGGAACACATCACTGTTGAAGACCTATGCAACATAGTTCTAGAAAGCAAGAGAGAGTGCTGTTAAAACTAAACATCCATTCTAGTCAGTGCAGGCTTTTCATTAGCTTTGTACAGTCATACCTCGGGTTACAGACGCTTCGGCTTACGCAATTTCGGGTTGTGCACAGCTCCAAACCGGAACGGGTTGCTTCCAGGTTTTGGCGCTTGCACATGTGCAGAAACGCTAAATCACGCTTTGCGCATGCACAGAAGCGCCAAATCGTGACTCACACGTGCGCAGATGCAGCGCTGCAGGTTGCGGACACTGTGGGTTGTGAATGTGTTTCCCACACGGATCACGTTTGCAACCCAAGCCTTCACTGTATAGATAACCACATTTTTAAAAATCAATACCTGCTTTTCAGGTAGGGTTTTAAAATAAGTTTACAAGGTATGATATGGATGCATGCCATCCCAGTCTCTGAGCAGTGTGAGTTTCCAGGCACTCACCCAGGGTTTGTGTTTCCTTTGGAATGAGGCCCAGAGGAGACTGTGGTGTCTTTAGGATATACAGTTTATTTACACATATTTACAAGCTGAGTCTAGATGGAGGGGTTCACAGCATTAACACCCCAATATAGTCTTGCTTCTCCCATAGCCACAGCCTTGGATTCAAGCAGAAATCAGTCATTGCTCTAACCTTCTGGCTTCCCAGCCTGTTTCACGCTTCCAGCTTCCAGCTCACATAACTCTCTCCTCTGGCCTTTGTCAAGTTGAGGGAAGGAGGCCCTCCAATTTTTCATCTGGCACAGAGCCACTTCCTTTGTTACCATAATGGTCCATACTTAATAGGGACCCACTAACAATAAACTTATCTGGCTATTTCAACAATTTGAATCCTTGTTTAGCTGTTAACACTTGCAGAATCCAGGAATTAGAAGGGGGTCCAGGCATATAGCCTACCTCCCCCAAACTCATAACAATGTAAAACCTAGCTAGTCAAATGGGAAACTGTCATGTACTGAGTTGGACCATTTGTCTATCTAGTTCAGGATTTTCTGAGTGGCAGCAGCTTTCTAGGGGTTCCCAGCCCTACCTGAATATGCTGAGGGCTGAACCTGGGTCTTCTGTGTGCAAAGCAGGGTCCTCTGCCCCTGACGCGGGTGGCGCTGTGAGCTAAACCACTGAGCCTCTTGGGCTTGCTGATCAGAAGGTTGGTGGTTCAAATCCGCACGATGAGGTGAGCTCCTGTTGCTCTGTCCCTGCTCCTGCCAACCTAGCAGTTCGAAAGCACACAGTGCAAGTAGATAAATAGGTACCACTCTGGTGGGAATGTAAATAACGTTTCCATGCACTCTGGTTTCCATCATGGTGTTCTGTTGTGCCAGAAGCGGTTTAGTCATGCTGGCTACATGGCCCAGAAAGCTGTCTGTGGACAAACGCCGGCTCCCTCAGTCTGAAAACAAGATGAGCGCTGCAACCCCATAGTTGCCTTTGACTGGACTTAACCATCCAGGGGTCCTTTACCCTCCCCCCCTTTTTTACTCTGCCCCTGAGCTGTAACCCACTCTGCACTCGCTAGAAACTTAGAAAGCTGCCTTATGCCTTATCAGTTATGCCTTATTCCTAGTCAGTTTAACAGTCTATCTCACTCAGTACGGTCTCCACTAACCATTGGTGCCAGTTCCCTGGGGCCCTGGGTGCCTAAGTACCCAAAAGGGGCCAGACACCCACAAATTTCAGCACCAGGGCCATGCATGCTGCTTGGCACCCATTGCCCTGTGCAATCTCGGTTGCAGGATCAAGCTGGCACTCCTGCCACTAACTGGGAGCAGCTCCCAAGGAAGCCTTATTCAGCCTGAGGACCACATTCCCTTCTGGGGATGGTCCCAAGGAGCCATATTCCAGTGGTGGGTGGGGCCAGAGGCAAAAGAGGGGAGAGTAAGAAAAGTAAATTCAACCTTTGCACAATTGGCTATTTTTTTGTGCACGCATACACACACACACACACAGAGGCATGGGCGTAGCCAGGATTTTTGTTAGGGGAGCAGAGAGGTGCTCCCCTGCCCCCCTGGCTATGCCCATGCACAGAGGCACACCTCTCTACTCTCCATTCAGACAAACAAGAGGCATTTCCAGAGTTCCATTCCATCCAGGCAAAAGTACAGTGGTACCTCGGGTTAAGAACTTAATTTGTTCTGGAGGTCCGTTCTTAACCTGAACTGTTCTTTACCTGAAGCACCAATTTAGCTAATGGGGCCTCCCACTGCCGCTGCACCGCCAGTGCACGATTTCTGTTCTCATCCTGAAGCAAAGTTCTTAACCTGAGGTACTATTTCTGGGTTAGCGGAGTCTGTAACCTGAAGTGTATGTAACCCGAGGTACCACTGTATTTGAATTGTGAAGGAGGGATATTGAGGTGTGTGGCTTGGGAAGAGTCCTGAGGGCCTGGTAGAGGTTCCTCATGCCTGCTCTAGGATTTCAGAGAGGGCTCTTTCTCAATCCTGCCTGGACAAGCCAGGGACTGAACCTAGGACTTTTTGCAAGCAAAGCATGTGCTCACTCACAGTGTGCCACACAGCCAGAATGTATCCTGAGAAATGGCACATTCCCAACCCCTGCAGAAGGCGCTTGCATGTTCACCACAGGGAAGCACCTACAGAAGTTGCACCAATCCCAGACTCATCTCACTAGTCAGGGATGTTCATGCATGCTGCATTTTTTTAGTGAAACTAGGCATAAAATTTGGCGTCACCTTAAGACTGTGAAGCGAGCCTTGAAAGTGTTTGGGGTGTGTGCGTCTTGAGTTCCTTGGAAGAACAATGTGACATAAATGTACTGTAGTGAAGAAATATGTTTCCAGTTCAACAAGCAACCACTGTGGACAAGGTGAGAGAGGGCCGACAACAACTGCAAATGGCTTTATAGTTCCTACTGTGTGGGGCTGCAAACTGGTTGGTTTTCCGCCCCAACTATTTTCCAAGTACAGTAGACTCTCAAAGATGCCAAAATTGGTGAGAACA